GCCCCGCGTCAGGCTCTGGGCTGATGGCTCAGAGCCTGGAGCCTGTTTCCGATTCTGTGTCTCCCTCTCTCTCTGCCCCTCCCCTGTTCATGCTCTGTCTCTCTCTGTCCCAAAAATAAATAAATGTTGAAAAAAAAAATTTAAAAAAAAAATTTAAAAAGCTTAATTAATAGATTGGGAAAATTCTCATGATCTAATAACGCTAAGTGGAAAAAGTTTTTTCAAAATTTGGTATGAAAGTTATTACAGTTTTTTTTAAATATGCAGAAAAAAACTGAAAAGGAAAATTTTCAAATGTTCTCAGTCCTCTCTTCCTGGTAATATTACAGGTAATTTTAATGTTTCTTTTTATAATTTTCTGTGTTTAAAACTGTAATCATTATTATGTATTCTCTACTTAAAATTAATAAACTAGATATAAGAAGATAGAGGGATAGTTAATGACAATGAGGCAACACAGCCATAGGCATAATTAAAATTTACATTTATACTAAGAAGCAGACCCTAGGAATAACCAGTTATCCAAAACTATAGTAGAATATTTATTTAGTCAGTAAATGATCCCACTATGTGCTTTTCACTAAAGATGGCACATGGTATTCAGAAATCCAAATACTAGTTCTAGCTGGGGGAACTCAGGACCAGGGGAAAGGCTGAGAGAAAACAGTTACCCACAGTGCTCCGTGATTTCTGGGCCCAGGGTGCTATGGGAACACAAGAGAGGAGGAACACTGCAGCCTCCCTTCCAGGGATCTGTGGAAGGCTTCCAGGAGGAGGTGACATCTGACTTGAATCCTGAAGAATGCATGAGGAAAAAAAAAGTAGGGGAAGGTCTTTCAGCAGAGGGAATGCATAAAGACAGAGTTGAGTAAGGGTAATAGTTTTCCAATGAGAATCTCATAAGAAGAAATTCAGAGAAGGAAAGGAGAAAACTTAACCAAACCCAGTCCTCTGGAGATAGAGATACAGAGAAAAATTAAAACAATATTAGGAGTTCTGGAGGAATTTAGAATGTCTTTTAGGTATCTCTCTTGGACACTCAACAGGTGGTAGCATTACTGGCTAATGCAGTAAACATGGACGAGCAGGTTCAGAGGGAAAATTTTACAAATATCCATTAGTAAGGTAAATGATACACAGTGCTAGAGTATAATCACTCATTCTACACGTGAGTACTGAACATGACTGTACAGCCTGTTCTAGGCGCTGAGTACACACCAGTGAACCAGGCAGACAAGGCCTCTGCTCTCATGAGGCTCAAGGTTTGCCTGGGAGACAGACCACAAACAAACAGGAAAATATCCAAAGTGATAAGTGCTGTAAAGCAAACATTAGCACTCGTGGATGCCATGAGAGGAAGTGATGCAGTTATTTAGATTGTGTCAGGAAAGGCCTCTTGGAGAGGCTCAGGAAAGATTTGGGATAGGACAGCAATATGATCATGATAACGATAGGACAGCAGTGCGGTAGCATTCGCTGACTGAATCCTTTCTTTGTGCCAAGTGGATTATTTCGTTAAATCCACAATACAATCATATAGGTAGGTGGTGTTGAGGGGCAGAAACTTGCCAGTCAAACACAACTCTGCCTCCAGCCACACTGGACACAACTACTTTTGCCTGTTCCACGCTGGGCCTTGAGAGGTGAGGATTGGAACTATGACAAGGAACACAATCACCCAGGGACACCAAAGCAGGAGGAAAAGCGGGGGGGTGGGGGGTGGAGGGGGTTGCTGAAAACTGAAACCTAGAGAATGCCAACACTGAGCGGGTAGATGAGGTGCTCTGAAGACAAGCACCTCAGCCATGTGGCCTGACAGCCACGAGACAAGCCAGCGTCACAAGGAAGGGAATGAATGGTCAGCAGTGTCCTGTTGTCCACATGACCTAGAGAGGACAACAACCACACAAATCATCCATCAGATTTAGCAACCAATTATTGATGAGCTTGGCCAGACAGGTTTTAGTGAAGTAGTGAGGGAGGGCCAGACTGCAGGGTTGATAAGGGAAGATTTCTTTTCCAAGAGATACAGGGTAGAGGCCGGACGACTTGCTATGGTGCTTGGGGTTGTGGTTTGGTTTAAAGAAGGGAGAGACTTGAGGGTTGAGCCTTTAGAGAGGAAGGTTGAGAGCACAGGAGACAGAGGAAAGAACTGCTGGAACAAAGTCCTTGTAGGGACAAGGACAGCACACAGAGCACAGCTGGAGGACCGGGTCTTAGTAGGCAGAGAGGCACCTCTTCTACTGTGATGGGAGTGGGGGGGAGTAAGTAAGAAGGTAGCACATGTGGGGATTTCTTTTCTCTGAAGTAGACCTATTGTCCTCTGCTCAAGGTGAAGACTGCAGGGAGAAGGTAGTCCTTCTGGAGTCCTACTTAAGGTTCAGCTTTGAAACAGGGCATGTGGGTGCTACTGACCTGTATAAAAGACTCCAAGTAACCCCGAGGTTCCTTTTGAGTTTGGAGCCCTTGCATCTGTGCCAGCAGCATGTGCACAGCTGTGAGGTGTCCTGCTGCAAGCCAGCGAGCTGGGCTGAGCTGTGTGGCACAAGCTGCTCCGGTGGCACCTGTCCCGGGAAGATCACTTTAGGCTTTCATCTGGCTTCTCTTGGACAGTCCTGAATTCATGGGCTGTCCTACAGCCAGAACTAAACAAATTTGCAATGCAAAAGTGTATCTTCAAATTAGCCCTTTAAAGAAACCCCCTAATCCGTGCCATCTGAATATGAAATATGTATTAACATAGAAAATAGTAGGGGGTCCAGGATCTTTGGAGATAAAATGATCAGTGAAATAGTTGGAATATTCTTGTATTGTCCTATTTCTATGCACATAATGTTACAGCTACTGCCTATGTTTGATTCAATTCGATCCTTTTTAAAAGTTAAATACACAGCTTCCCTGGGCATGTAATTGTGAAACATTTTGTTGATATGCTATATCACAGTACTTTAAGATAACACAGGTCTTTCTCCTTGCAGAGAATTTCGTTGCCACTACGTGCATACAAAACAGAGGGTGTAATCAAAGGGGTATCTGGCATGCATCCAGAACGCTATCTGGACTAGTCTGTGACTGGCTGCCATAGTTTCCAGTCCATTTCTGATCCATGACTTACTGCTTCATAACTGCCAGTTTCCAAGGTTTATCAGGATGGCACACAAGAGCTCAGTCATTACTTTCTAGCTCATTCTCAAGTGTGTTTTACTAGTAAACATTTTTGATTATTTAAAATAACAAAATAAGACTATCAAGATTGTTTTTACCATCATTTCTCCATTTTCTATCAACAGCATAAGCTAGTGCAGGGAATGTTTCCAAAAAGTGTAGAATTGTAGCAGGAATACTTCAGGTAGCTGATAGTTTCCATGCCTTAAGCCAGTAGCAATTTGTGTAATAGAGAAAGGATTAGACAATTTAATGTTCAAACTTCACGTGAAGCACCTGAATTATTTTTAAAAACACCAGCCGACAACTGCTACTCTGGCAGTCTGGTTCGAAGACATTTACAAAGAACAGAGATTCCGGAAATTTTAGTGTTTAAACAATTCAGAAATTTTCTCTTGCAATATATCAATTCCTCTCACCAAACTTGAGCTGTGTGACATGAATCCCGTGGTTGCATTACATGGAATGTTTTCAAAATTACTTTCTCTGAGGTCCTCTAAGCACTTTAGAAGCAAAAGATTGAGGATAGCAGGACATCCTGAGGCCTGAACCAGCACTGTCATCATGTTACGTTGTGAGGCTTTGGAGCCTAGCAGAAAGAGTTGGACACCACTTCTCAGGTATTTTTGCAAAAGCCAGCCCCCCTTTTCCCTGCAGGAATCAGTTCATTTCTAATAATAAGCCTACTTTATGTTATTGACTAAAATACCTTAAAAGTGTTCAATTTTCATATTTCACTTCCTCATAACCCCTACTTTTTAAACTGCATGCAGATTTAAATGCCAAGATATGTAAATCTATTTAATGTAGGTTCCTAGCGGTTTGACCTCAATATTTGCAAGTTAATTTTCCTCCAACGCAGTGGCTGTAATATTTTGACTTTAAAAAAAAATTTTTTTTTAACATTTATTTATTTTTGAGAGAGAGTGAGACAGTGCATGAGTGGGGGAGGGGCAGAGAGAGAAGGAGACACAGAATCCGAAGCAGGCTCTGGGCTGTCAGCACAGAGCCCAACGCGGGGCTCGAACCCACCAATCGCGAGATCATGACCTGAGCTGAAGTCGGACCCTCAACCGGCTGAGCCACCCAGGCGTCCCTTGACTTTTTAAATCACTTAATTTGATTGCTGGTTGCAGCCAGATAATCATTTCATTGATGAAATGAGGAGAGATTAACATAAAACCCGAGAACACCCGTGTCCAACTCCAGAAGAATGTTAGCCAAACTGAATAGCTGACGTCAAGTGACTTGAGTTCAGGAAAACTCTGATGAGTTATAATGGCACCAGCTGTGGCATAGTTTAAAATTTGTGTTACGGTGGTGGTGATGGTGGTGGCTTCTGAAACTGAAAAAATGGAAACTGTCAAAAAATAGGAATATGGTACAGCCCCTGATCTCCGAGTGAAACTGAAAAGGGGGTGGGAGCTCCGTGAGTATGGGGCCAGGCCGTCAGGTTCAGGCCAGGGAGGCGGTGAGGGAGGGGAGGAAAAGCTCGCAGGGGGAAGGAGTGGGGCGCTAGACAGTCCCGGAGAGAGGAGGAGGGAGGGGGAGGGAGGGGAGCGGCGGAGCGCGGAGCCGAGGGGAGGGAGGGAGGGAAAGTGGGAAAGGAGTAGAGGAGTTGACGGGGCGCAGAGGTTAACCTTGCTCGGCTCGGGGCGGGCGGCGCATCTCGGCCCGCGCGCGCGGAGGAGCCCCCAGCGCGGGACGGCGGCGGACCCATGTCGCGCCCGCGGCGGGTCCCGGGACCCCAGCGGGAGTCCCGCGCCGGGCGTCTCGGGTCTCCGGGAGTCTGAGGTGCGGGCCACGCGGGAGTGGCGGTGGCGAGCCCGCTCGCTGGTCGTTATGAGGACGGATCTAAAATGACCAGCAAACGGAAGCCCTTCCCAACGCAGCTCAGGCGGTCCATCAGCGAGCAGTTGCGGGACTCCACGGCCAGAGCCTGGGATCTGCTGTGGAAGAACGTCCGGGAGAGACGGCTGGCAGGTCGGTGCCCGCGAGACTCCGGGGCCGCGGGGCAGCAGGAGGCGCGGGCGGCTCGGCACGCCCGGCCCACCTCCCGCCTTCTCTCGGGGTGCCCCGCACAGGTTTTCGGAGCCGGGGGCTGGGCCGGGCCGGCCGCGCGCACCCCCTCCCGGCCCGGCCCGAGCGCCCGCGCTCCCCGCGCTCCCCAGGCGGCGGTGTGGGGTCCGTCCCGCGCGCTGACAGCCTGGCGGGGAGCGCCACGCGGGGCCGAGAGCGGGCGCCGGGCTTACCTGGCGACTCTTCCTTCCTTCTGGCGGCCGCCTGGCCCGGCTGGCCCGCGCTCCGCAGCCATCCACCCGGTGAATGAATGAGTGCCTCACCGAGGGCTACTTCTCTCCCAACTTCGCCTGTTCCACAGCGTGTTGGGGGTGGGGGGTGGGGGGATGGGGGGGAACAAAGCAAGGGAGAATCTCCAAAGTTCTGGGAGACCAGACGTTTGGGGGATTGGGGTAGGGGGAAGATTTGGGGAAGGACAGGTGGACAGCTGTTGGTGCAAGTGGATCGCCGCCCACAATCCCGGTGTTGCTGTGGATCAGGCTCTCCTCACTTTGGGATTACAAAAGAGGGGCCTCCCGTTTGGGACCTATTGCCCACGAATCAGAGGAAGAGAAGAGGTGATTATTCTGAGCTAAGGGGTCCCTAAGAATCCTTGCTTAGGTCAGAACACCAGCCCCCTCCTTAGCACCTCCCCCAGCCTCCCCACGCCGTGACCTTACTTCTGTGCTGTCTTCGATGGAACCATCTCCTTGTAGGGCCACGGATGCAGTGAGTGGCCTGAGCCTTCTCAGAGCCCTCATTCAGAGCTGTAGGTCTGGTTAGTCACCGCATCATCCCTGCCCCAATAAGGGAAAGCCGCCCTCCACACAGTTCCAGAGCAGTGGAGGATTTAGGATCCCTTCGCCCAAGGGCTGGCTGCTTGAGGTGTTTCAGGGATTGAGGGAAGTGTGGTTGGAAGGGTCCCTGAGCTGACCACCGGTCCGGTCTCTGGACCTCGTTGCCTCCTGTCTTTTCAGCAGTATCTCCTGAGTTGGTCAGTGACCACAAGGATGGAAGAGAGTTCTAGAGAAGAAGGTATGAAGTCTGGACAGAGGGAAGTGATACCAAGGGTGACATGGGAGATTTTAACCTCCTCTGGGCTCCTCCCCTTTGCCTTAAAGTAGAACTGAAGTGTGTTTGCTAGATGTTCTGCCCCTGCACCCATGCAGCCTGACAGCATTCTGGAGTAGGTGCCCAGAGACTGTATCTCCTTCACTGTGAGGTCCTTATCAATCTAACCGGTCAAATTAGAAGCAGGGATTATAGATGATTTCAACACTCAATGTTGTCAGCATAAAATGTTCATCCCATATTTCCTGTCCAACACAGTGGCCCCGTTTAGTAAGCACCCAAGAAATAAACAGGCTTTTCAGTCTAGACCCAGAAATAAGTTGTGACAACTGGTAGTTTTGACTGTTGACTTTTAAAGACTTGTATGTGCGTTGCAGACCTCAGTTAATAACAATTAGTAACTTTCCCTGTTACCCTGCTAAATTGTATAATCTATGTGATGATTGGTGTCAGAAAAATTTTTGTGGTCTAGTAAACATTTGTTGCTTCCTAACTTCAGAGTGCTAACTGCAAATGTCTCCTTCATAGCTTCTGTTACTTAAGTTTGTTAAATTTGTTAAATCAATGGATCTTCAGGAAACAAGAAGTCTTTCCAGGAGGGCTGCCAAGGCTGTGCTGGGTTTTTATAGAAGCTGAGGCCAAAGATGACTGCAGCCCTGTCTTTTTCAAAAAGAGATCTGGGAAGGAGGAGAGTGTAATGTAAAGACTTAAAACCATTAAGGTTGTCCAGGAAAGTCATTTATTCACATGAATTGTAGAAATTGCAGTTTAGGTAAGGTGGTGGAGAGAAAAGGTTTTGATTCTGGGAAATAAACCATAGAAAGAGATTTTAAGATCATGAGTATATAGAAATTAAGGCTAGAAATGGCTTCAGAATGGTAAGTCTAAGAGTTCTCCCAGAGTAGTGCAATTAGTTTTTAAAATAGCGGTATGAGGTTTTAAAAATGTTTAATCAGAATATTAATATCTGCTTACCCATAATCTGCTTACCACTCTGCTAACAGTGGATGCCAGCGGGTTATTCAACTAGCACCAAACAATCCTCTGTGAAGCAGACTTCAACTTGTGCTTCTCCAAGCAAGCTGGGATGATTGCCACAAAACCAAGCCAACTCCATGAAGGAGCTTTTAGATGCAAATTGATTTTCTTGGGTTTTCTTGCTAAGGTAGCTAAAATATGGAACTTTGGCCACGAGACACTGAAATACTTAAGTTATTAATGTTGGCATCAATTCTAGGGGAAAGTGTTCTTCATTTGTAAAAGTGTTCTTTCTATGCTTCTGTTCACAATATCAGAATAACCAACCATATGAATGGACCCCCAGAGACTATCTACCCTGCCAAGACGTGATACTGACTGGCTTTTTTTTCTTAAGTTTTTTTTTTTTTTTTCTATCAGATAAAATTTGTGTGCTGGTATTTCTTTAAATTCTCTAAAATTTTCTTCTTATTACCTCTGGTCAATAGAACAGTATTCACAGTGCTTTATAACAAACTTGTGTTTATTGTCTAGAGCAATCCTGAAGGTATTTGAGTCTCCCTTTTACTTTTTTACACCCAAAGGAAGGAAATCCTTATTCTAACTCACTCCTACTTCTCTTTGTGAGGGGCTGTCTCGTCAATGAAACAAAGTCAAGAAGTAAAAGTGCTTAATGATACTGAAGCGTGTGGATTTCTATGCTGTGGGGCCATATTTAGGAAGGAAGGGACTATACGTAATCGAAAGAAGTATTTCTTAACACATATCACAATGCAGATAATGAAATAATTGGAAGGATAAGATGTGAAGGATGTTCAAATATATTCATTTTATCACTAAATTTAAAAAGGGGTAAGTTATTGTTAAAGAAGGATTGATATTGGGAGCGCTTCTTGGGCCTTCCAAATCTGTAGTAGCTGCCAAATTTCCATCAGACTATGGCATTTTTGCCAATGCATACTTCTTAATTTCCCGAGACTCTAACCCCGCAAGGGGTCAGCAAGAGTTTTTCTTACTTGTTATCCCAATATTGATTATTCCAATAATGGTGGTAATTGTTATTTATTCCCAAGATGACAAAATTAGTGTTCAAAGCAGGATTCTAATGCGTGTTGTCAAAAGTCAAAGGCCACCTGTGCCCATTTTCCCTTACAGTTACCCTGCTTCTTCCATAGGCTTTATGGAGACACACGGACCTCAAATCCTTTCTCCAAGTCTGGCACTTGCAATTAGTTTAAAAAAGAATAGTAAAATGAACTGGAAAAATTGCTCTTTTTTTTACTCCTGGAGTGACAAAGATAACCCTATACACCTAAAACAATGTCCCTTTGTCATCCTGTTGGACTGCTAAGTGTATGGGCTCATAGAGATTTGAAACCAACAGCCATACCTCTAGCTTGTCAGGGGCCCCTAGGTGGTGAGCCTTGCCCACTACCATCACTATAAGAAGCCAAGGGCTATAAGAATGAGAGGCTGTCATAAAGCCTAAATGTAGGTTTCTTCAAGATAGGTGAGTGACAGGTTCTTTTGGCTTCCCCAGATCTGTAATCAGCCACCACTGGTGATGATTCTGAGCTTTTGTAGCATCATTAAATTCTCTAGGCAGCAGCATACCCCTCAGCTTTTGGTGTTTGTAAGCAGCTTGAACTACTTTTCAAATGGTAAGGTCTGAGAAAATCCAAATGAGTTCTCTAAAGCTTTCTGCTCCTTTATTTTAAAACCCTACTCTATTTTAATGGAAATGTAATCCATATGTTTGATTCCTTTATACTCACATAACAGTGTTTAGGTGGCTTGTGAACTAACTGATGTCCAAGTCTTTTGATCTCTTTTATAGTCTCATTTTAAATCATTTCTCTTAGACACAGGAAGTTCTATTGCTGCCAAGAATAAACTAACTTAAAACACTGAAAAGTTTGAGTTTCGATGAGAAACACTAATTCCACCAAATTTCAGTGAGTTCTTGTCATGTTAAAACAGGTTCATTCATTCTCAGAGTCAACAGTAGCAGCCTGTGATGTGATGTAAACACAAGACTGGGACTTTAATGCAGAGTGGGATCAAGAATAGAACATAGGCGATAAAGACATTCCTTATTAAAATCTAAATGTGTTCCGTGATATCAAAAAGCACAGGATGATACCAGTTGATCCTTTTTATGTGTTTTATATCAGCGTTCTTCCTTTTTATTGTCACTTTCCTGTAAGGTACAGGCCATCCCACTTGTCAGGTGTTTTTTTAAACATCTCTTGAAAGGAGAATACATTTAGATGTGATTTATATTAACAATGACAAAAAAAACTAAGTAAGTATGCAATTAAAATCAGAGAAGGAGAACATATTCCTTATATAAGGGTTCTCAGCCTTAGCTACACATAAAATCACTGGGAGCCTTTTATGAATATCAGTGTCCTGGCAGCCTCTTAGAGATTCTGCTTCAGTTTAGAGAGGGCCTGGGGATGAGTATTCTTTTTCAAGCTCCACAGATGGTTCCAGTGGGTAACCTGGCCTAAGAACCACTGACTTATAGTAACTACCATTTTATAACTCTCAAAAGTCTATGTCTAGCAGAAGGTCATATTCTAGGCCCCTAAGAAAAGTTTTGATTAAGTAGGGTTGGAATGAGCTTGTCATTTTACAGAAAAATAAAAGTTTGGGCCTAGTTGCCAGGGTAAGAAATTTGCTTTTGGTTCTACCTATGGTAAGAAGCAAAGGACTTTATGCAGAGGAGTGGCGGGTCCTGGTTTAATTGTCGCCAGAGTGGTCTAGGTGAGAGACAAACAGTGACCAGGACTACAGTAATAGTGATAGAGATGGAGATGTAGGGACATATTTGGAATATGTGTTGAAAGGAGAGACGACAATGCTGAGGTTAGTGGCTGGAGGTGAGGGAGAAGGATCAAGAACTCCTGGGTTGTAGTGCCATGGGCTGAGATGGGGCACATGGCAGATACGCGTGTTGCAGCTGCAAAAGGAAGTTTTGTTTTTGTTTTTGTTTTTGTTTTGTTTGTTTTTGCTTTTGGCATTGGACAGATGAGGATTGAGGAGTTCTCCTTGAGCCAACTTAGACCAAAAGTGCCTCTTAGACATCCAAAAGTAAAAGTCAAAAAGTTGGCTGTGCAAGTACGGGTTTGGAAGAAAAGTCAAAGCCAGAAATATAAATCCAGAAGTGATTGTCATATAACTTTTATAGAATAAAACCTAAGGATTAGATGGGGTTACTTGGGAAAAAATATGTAAATAAGAGGAGGGGCCAAGGACAGAATCCTAGGGCATCCTTTATTTAAAATTTTTTTTTTCAACATTTATTTATTTTTGGGACAGAGAGAGACAGAGCATGAACGGGGGAGGGGCAGAGAGAGAGGGAGACACAGAATCGGAAACAGGCTCCAGGCTCTGAGGCATCAGCCCAGAGCCTGACGCGGGGCTCGAACTCACGGACCGCGAGATCGTGACCTGGCTGAAGTCGGACGCTTAACCGACTGCACCACCCAGGCGCCCCAGGGCATCCTTTATTTAGAGCACACTATTTGGATGTGAACTCTCTCTGTATATACATATGCTAAGTTTCTGGAGAATTTGAAAAAGCAACACTGTCTCAATTCAGCATTCTTATAGCAGAAGAATAATCGTGCTATGCTGAATAATCTTTTGTGACAGATTTATTTGGTCCCAGAACTGCTGATGAATGAAAATAATCATAAAAATATGTCTTGCTAATAAAATATAACTTTTTTTAAATTTAGAAATGATACCACAAAGTAGAAATTAAAAACTTCAAATAACATTTGAAGGGAAGGCTGCTCAAGTTTGCCCTCATTAAAAAAAAATAAAAATATGGTTAAGTATAAGTGGTCTTAGCAGGAATATTTCTATGGTTATTATAACCTGTTGACCCCACGTATAATGAAGTAAGAGCTTTATATTGGAAAGATGACTTTTTCAATGTCATGATATCCAGGAATAGTCTACTCAAACAAAGCTTAGCTTGTAAGAAAAGTTCTCTATATTGAGGTTTTGAGTACTGCATCCATTTACTGACCTTTATCAGTTATGGTTTGTCCATAATA